ACGGCCTGGTTTAGCTGGAGGAGAGCTGCGGTGTGGAGGAAGACCAGGGAGCACCCCAAGTGCCGCGCCAAGTGGGCTGTTTCCCTCCACGCTGCGCCGGAGCATGTGGGAAGTGACCGAGCTGTCTTGTTTTGCCAACATGGGCAGGACGGACGAGGGCCAGAGCAGATGTGGGGGCTGCTGTGACGGCACAAAGGGAAGACCAGAGCTTCATCCCGGGGCGTGTCGACCGGGAGGGGGAAAAAGGATGTTCAGAGAAGAAACCAGAACTGCCTGGCTGTGAGGCAGATGAGACGCACAACCAGCCTGGAGGTCGGGCGGAGGATGGACTCTCAGGCTTCCGGGGCTTGGGGGGTCACTGGCGGGGTCTCGGCGGAGATGGCCTCGCCCAGCGCCCACTGCGCGTCCGTCCGTCTCCTGGCCCCACCACAGTCCACCGGATGCTCCCGGCCCCGGCATGTGACGGCTGGGAGAGGGGAGGTTGGGCCCCATCACACCTCTTCAGGTGACACGGACTCCCGCAGGGCATTCCCACAGATACACAAGTGCCTCTGGTCACACAGCCCTGGGGTGACCCTGAGGATAACCACCCACTGGTCCTTCTGACCTGAGGATCCCAGACAGTGAGGATCACAGGGAAACAACTCCAGGCTCGGGGACCTCTAACAGCCCCTCCTCGGGGCTGTTTCCTCAGGACTGTGTTGGTCACAGCCTTCTAGGAGGCAGGCGACCTTCTGAAGATTGGAGGAAGAAATAATGCCTCGGATTTAAAGGGGGAACTATTTGAAAAGCCAACGGTGGGAATGGAAAACATCCTCCCCTACATTTAAAATGCCTTATATACTTAATAATTTCTTAAGAAATTATCTACTATCCTGAACTGTGTGCCTGATTGAGCGCACTTACGGAAGCATTTGGAGAATTTTAAAACATGTTAAAAACAAAACAGAAGACGGTCAGTGGAATAACGGGGTACATGAATGCAATGTTACGTTTGAGACAGAAAATGCCGAAGACACGTGCCTGTGTGGTGATAATAATGCCCCCTCCCGAGCTGTCAAAATCCCCAGGCAAAAACAAGCCCACGAGCAGGGGAGAGACCAGCATCATCTTTAAGACCTCACTGCACACCTTGCAGACAATTTCTTCTTTATACCAACATAGAGACATACTCCTCAAAAACAGGTTCAAAATTTGGAGAGGAAATGACCCAGGAATTAATTAAGAGAATGAAATAAACAAAGGAGAAATTATCATATCAAAATAAAAGACAAGAAACACGATTAAATTAGGCTTTGAAAGACCCGTGAGAAACCCATAAAAGGCGTAATATGCATTTACCTGGTTTTTGTTCTTTCATGATTTAATTTCTAATTTTATTCACTACCATCTGATAATTGCATGAAACACTTAGTCTAACCATGGGCAATTTAAACTATTTTAATTTTTATTTCAAGGCCATGAGACAAAGGAACCTATTTATTGCCTAAGGGGATTTTTTTTAACAAAAATTAAAGCTTAATCTTTCATGTTTTAAAGCAGAGATTGTTTAAAATCATTTACAATAATGCTGTAGGGAGACTATGCCTGGGTATGCAAAATTGAAATGATAAATTTACAATTATTAAAAACATTAATAGTTTGGGGGATTGACTTGTCCCTTTCAAGATGGATTGGGGTGAGGTGCAGGGGACATCTCTGAAAACAGGGTAAAGCCAGGGCCTGTGTGGCAGCCATGCGATGGCGCCTCTGTGCCTTTCACTGATGGACTGGACTGCTAGTGGTATAATGACCGCAGGTCCTGTTTTTTATTATTTAAAAATAAATAATGGCATTGGCCTTGGGAACGACTTCGTACCCCTTTTAGATTGTAGGTAATTGTTCCGATGAAGTGGACGGTCATGAATTCTACCAACCACATTTTCTGTGACTTTGAAAAAGTCCCTGATGGAAATTAGACAAATCATTTACTTTCACTTAAATGCCAGATTTTTTTTTAGTTACGCTTAAGAAAAATAATTGAAATGTAGATTTAAAATCGTGGCTGCTGCTACACTTCAGGATTCTAATGAAATACTTTCAGCTATTATGCAAAGCATTGCTCAACAGAGAGAAGAAAAACCACTTTCAGTGGTACCGCAGCAGAATTTCTGGAAGGGCAGAATGCCTCTTTGAGAGCAAAGGTAAGGACGCTTTGCTATGGGAAGAAGGAAAATAGATCTCAGGACACATTTTCCCTTTCATTAAGAGCTCAGGAAAAACCTGAAAATGGTCAAATGTGCTTAAAGTTCCTGAAACACACAGGCCATCTTCCTCAGCTGTCTGAGTCCCCCGCCGCTGGAAGAAGGTTCCGATGTCTTTGAGCTGGTGACCCTACTGGATGGAAAGTGGGGGGTCCAGGGACGTGGCGGCCCCCCTCCTCTCCGCCCCGGGTGCCACAGCTTCCCTGCTGGTGAGCGATGGCACCAGTTCCCTCCCAGCTTCCAGCTTGCTCTGTCTATGCCTGAATGCCCCTTCCCGAGCTAACCACATGGCCTCCCCCAGCTCCCTTCACTCTCGGCCGCGGTCCGTCCAGGCTGTCCTCACAGCGCCGCGTGGCCTGGCGCACATGGGGCGCACCGAGCTGCTTATTGTCTGAGATCCCCTCACCAAGTGGAAGATGCCTGAGAGCAGGGAGCACGTCTGCGGTGGTCCCCCCGCCCCCCTGCACCCGGGCCAGGGCCTGACACCAGACAGCCCCTCGTAGCGGTTACCCACCAACTCCACTGTATACACCGACCAGCTCATGGCCTGTTTGCACTGCCTTCTTAAACTGACGAGTCTTCTTTTAAAGAACGGCATGTTCAAATATTGGTTCTGATTCCTCACAGCCCAGGCCCGTTCCAGCCCAAATATCACAATGGGAGAACATATTTTAATAAAGTCAAATGAACTCTCACAAGCAAACGATAGGCCACAAACCATTAGCCAAAATGTCCTCTTATGATAATGGCCTGTCTCTGGAATGGCAGAACAATTTTCATGTCACTACAAGAGTGAACATATCCAAGTTAAAGTTTTTAAGGGCTGGTGGTTCAAACTGTGGGCTAAACGGCCCCCTGCCATTTAAGGACAAGTTTTCTTTTTTTCTCCACCTTATTGCCAATGATGTGGTCAGTTTCTGCTGGTTGCTCTTGATAAAAGAAGAGAAGATGAAGACCAGGGGCGGAAAAATTATAATCATTTCCTTTTGCCAAATACAGCTAACATGGTTTTTTCTTTTTAAATACCTAATCCTCTTTATTTTTATATAAGCAAATAAAGAGCAAACAGATTATAAATGACTTTTAGTTTTTTTTCTCTCTTCAAGTAAAACAGAGTTAAAGATATCGGCTTCTGGTATATGACACTTAGTGCTCTTTCAATGTAATCACTCCATAGTCCTCATAGGGGAGATAAACATCCTTATTTAAGAAAACGCTTTTCAATCTGAATTATAAAAGAGGCAAATTAGCGAGGTCAAAATGTTTAACTTGCTTTTAAGAAAAGTCACTACTATTTTTATAAATGGGAGTTTATGCTAAAGATGTCTATTTCTTTTCTTTCCTTTTTTTAGATTTTATTTGACAGAGAAAGACAGTGAGAGAGCACAAGCAGGGGGAGCAGCAGAGGGAAAGGGAGAATCAGGGTCCCCACTCAGCAGGGAGCCCGAGGGTGCGGGACTCCATCCCAGGACCCCAGGACCATGATCTGAGCTGAAAGCAGACGCTTAACCTACTGAGCCACCAGGCGCCCTGAAGAAGTCTATTTCTTAAACACAGTCACTGGAGAATCTCCTTAAGTAACAAGTCTATGTACCGCGCAGTAGAGTTGTGACTTAATTCGCTGGGGGGAGAAAAACCAAAGAAACGGGTGAAAGTTGATTTTTTGGAAAGACCATCGACTGTGCCAGACGAGGCCCGCAGAGAGTGATGGCACATTTTGGAAGACGTTTTCGAGAACAAAGTCAACGCTCCTCTGTGCTGCGGCTGGGAGAGGATAGGGTGTGAGGACGCGTCCCCGGGGCCTCTCCTACGTGTCCCCGAATGTGTCCCTGCAGTGGGGCCTCGGGGAAATGCGTGCAACACCCGGTGTTTCATCACCAGGCCACGGGCTGTGGCTCCTCAGGGGGCGCGGGCTCCCCGGGCAGCCCTGCTGCTCCCTGTGGCCAGAAGCCTTAAGCAAGCCGGCCTGCAGGGTACAGCTCGAATTTTGGTTCTCCTGAAGGCCAGCCCCATGCTTGCCCCGGGGGCTCTTCAAGCTCCCGCCGGCGCTGCGGGCAGAGCCAGCACAGGGCCCGTGGGCTCCGCGGGGCCAGCGCCAGGCCTCGGCCTCCATGCCCCGGGGTGTGCGCCGGAGCTTATCTGTCAAGGCCTAGAAGACTCCAGACGAAGAAAAGCCAGCAAGACAGTTTTTAAGACACAAATCATGGTATCCAGGCAACCACGTTACATCTGGCTCAGACGAAAAGAAAAATGGCATCTGCTTTTGAATAAGGTGACAACACTTGGAGGAGAAAGACTTTCAATTGCCTCGCCCAGAAGGCGACTGGGCCTGCCAGGCAGGTCCTCCCCAGAGCGTGGGTTGTAAAAGCAAACGGGCAGGGGCGGGACCCAGCCGCTGTGAAACAGAACGCCGGAACAACGTGGGATTCTGAGATGCGACAGAATGTTCTGGAATTGCTAAGGAGCACAACAAAGACGGCCGAGCAAACAGCAGGGAGAGAGGGAGGCCCTTCCCCGAGGCGCCCGATGGAGCGGCGCTGGCGGGAGTGAGCGGGAGATGCCCCCAGCAAGGTGGTGGAGAGACCCTTCCAGAACACTCCCTCCTTTGCCTTGGAAAACTGCACGCACTGGCCTTCACACCCCAAGTCTTTAAGAAACTTTACAGCGAGCCAGCAGCCCCGCACCCTTGAAGGCCGGGGCGCCCCCTCCGGGCACAGTCCCCCCCCCCGTGTCCCCAGAGGGAGGGCACCCCCTTACCGGGACTGGTGAGGGCTCCCAGGGCGCTGCTCGTGGTGGACAGAGGGTTTGCATTGGTGGTGGTGGCTGAGGTCTGGGCCGCGGCCGCCGCCGCCGCCAGCGTTGCCAGGTTCTGTAACTGCAGAGCATTCATGCCTGCGGGGGAAGAGAGACGCCGCTTTAGCAAGACGCCTGCTTGGCCCGGCTCCAAACGCGGGGGCAACGACAGGAGCAGGGGCCCCGGGCAGCAGGCGCTGTGATGGCACGCTCTGCCCCGCTGCCTTGGCGACAGGGCAACCGCCACGCTTCCCAGCAGAGCCGCCGCCTGTGTGCCCTGCTGCCTGTCCTCGCCCAGGACCGGTCCCCGACCGCCGCCTCCCAGGGCCGCAGACATCACTGGGAAGGACAGGAAGACTGTGTGTGCGCACAGGCCACCGCGCTGTCAGGAATCCGTGAGTCGGGGCCCGGGGGCTGCAGGACGGGCGGCCCAGTTAGCCCACCGGGGACATAAAGGTCAAACGCTCCTGCTCGGAACTTGAACGGGCTTCCTGGCTCTGCCACTTTACCAGCTGGGGGACTCGGGAGAATTGGTTCCCCTCTGCGCTTCCTGCTCAGTGACTGGGACTGTTCTCTGCTCCCCATGGCCAAGGACAGCGCGCAGATTAAATGAGATGAGGAACGCAGATCGCCCAGCACCGTGATGGGCCCAGCGCCAACACTGCCCTCACGACTCTCACTGTCACAACTGCCACCGATGTCCTCTCTCCACACTCACTGTTAATGTGAACTCAAACGTGACCATGGTAGGAACTCACAAAACATCTGATGAATAAAAAAATGAAGGAATAAAAATGGCAGTGCCCGTCCTATTTTTGTTTGTAAAGTGCTTGTATTTGCATTTCGGGTTTCAGAGAAGGACCGTGTTTAACCGGAACGGATCTCTGGCTACTGAAAATGAAGCAAGAGCAGCAGAGAGAAGCGAAATTTTGCAGGAACACGAGGGCAGGGTGAGCTGAGATCTGGGGGTGTCACCTGTCACAGGGAGGCTGCCTGACCTTGGGGGGGCCTTCAGGGTCATGCCCGCATCACCTCCCCACCTCTGTTTCTCACCCCAAGGGTCTCCGAACATTCAGTCTTTGTTCATGATTCACTTCACACTAAAGCAGATTCAAGAAGCAGGCAACAATGGTCCTCTCCCCACAGAGAGGAATTTTACACAGAAAGATGCTAGTGCTAAGTAATCCGCTTAATTTTACCTTCTTCTCATGTCTCAAATCCAGGTACTTAATACATGCCAACTGCGCAAATTCAATCTGCTTTAGAGAGACTGGCCAGATCGCAGCTTTCTTCTATGTTGGGGGCGGTGGTGGAGGGAGTGGTGACAGAATGTTCTAGCAACATTCCTGTGCAAGCCCCCAGCCACGGCGTGGAGCCCTCTGCCTAAGCATGGCTCAGAGCATGGCTGCTGGGCTCCCTTATCCTGCTCCCCCAGCATGGCTGCCCCAGTCACAACTCCTACTCAGAAAAGACTTCCTGATGTCTTTGCTGCAAAATGGCTCTTCATTTTGTTCAAAACATCACTCTGTCTTCTTCCAGGAGACATCTGGCCTTCTTGGCTTAGGGAGAAAGACAAGCACCTGATTTCAAAATCCACTTAGGGGCTGGGGAGGCGCAGACGCCGGACACGAGTATTTGTGGAATCCTGCTAACTTCCGCGAGCGCAGGGCAGCCTCCTGGGACCCTGTCTCCTCCGATCAGTGTAACTGGCACCAGAGCTCACTCCCCTTCCCTCTGATCCAGGGTCAGACAGGGTCATCCTTATGAAGACGTGGGACTTGAGGAAGCGTGGTCTTATTTTTCTGAGGGTACTTGAGGCAAATGGGGGAGGCACAGACCCAGCCTCAGCACAGACCCACCTGGATGCAGTGAAGGGCTCAGCTCCCACCAGGGGCTCGAGTGCACTTCACATCTGCGTGGGCTGACAGGCCAGGGCCCTGAGTGATTCTGGGGGGAGTGAGGGACGTTTCTTCTGACCCATCAGTCCCCTCTTGGCCCTCTTGTGGCTAACGGTCCTTCTGATGCTTTAATGGCACAAACCCCATAACCAGACTACATTCCCGACACTCGGCTGTGCTGGCGAGGAAAACCCACAGGACCCGCCTGGCACGAGTTAACGGTAAGCAGAGCCTGTCTCCTGGTTCTGGTCCCATGGAGCTCCTCTGGCCTCCAAGACCGCTCCCCTGACCCGCCCCTGATGCGGGCCGAGGAGCGCAGAGGGGATTCCAGAACTCCAAGGAACTTAGCCCATGCTTTGGCTCAGAGACTCAGGTCCTGGGCTGAGGCTCCTACCACTCCGCACAGGCTCCCTCTGAAGACCGAGTCTGCATTCAACACCCCTTCCGTATGTGCTCTGCTAAGTCACTGGTCTCGCTGTTTCTGACTTGTGGCATTTGCCACATCTTGCCTTGAGCTTACAGGTGTGTACCTTTTACCCCCATAACTAGATACCGAGCTCCCTGAGGGCTAAGGTTCGTCTGTCCGCCTGTGCAGACAGACACACACTCGCAGCTGTAGGCACAGCAGGCGATGGGTGAATCCATGCAGGACAAACGGACGGGGCATCCAACATGAAATTCCCATGAACCACAATAAAGAGGACCACCTGTAGACCCACACAAGCTGTCGTTTTCTCCGCTGTTCGTCCTTCAATATTTAGCACGGCTTTCCCTACCGACTGTTTTCCTCAATGGTCACTAATCCAGTCTCCAAATATTTATTAGAACGATGCATCTTCCTTATCTCACCACTGGCATGGCTGGGGTCCTGCTGACCATACTCCAGTTTTCCATTCCACTGTCCTCTCTGCTCACACTCCGGGTATGTCACCCTCAGGGTCCCCTCGACCCTTCTTCCCACGTGTCACCACTCAGGGCAGTCTGCTGTCCTAGTCCACCTTTCCCTGCCTCCACCCAGCAGGCCAGGCAGAGGGACCCTGGCTCTGGGGCACCACAGTGGGTGCGGGGCCGACTGTGTTCAACAATCATACCACAAGGAAAGCAAAAATATGGGCCCAAGGAAGCCGCAGAGAGGGACAGTGGGAAGGACAGGTCACTGCGAGGGCCAGCATCTGAGGGGCCTGGGGAAAAAAAGGAGGATTCGATGGAGAGATGCAGTGAGCAGCAGGAGCCGCGCGTCCCTGCCTGCTCATCCATCTGTCCGTCCACCCACCTTCCCTCCGTCCATTCATTCCTTCATCTCTCTACCTATCTTCCCAACTGTCTACCTACCCAGCCCCCGACACATCTGTCCTTCGGTTCAGCAGGTACCAAGGCCCCGAGGCCAGCCCCCAGCCGCTGGACTAGGGATGGAGCGAAGACCAGACGGGGTGTGCCCCCCAGACAGCACGGAGAAGCCAGGGCCCCGAGCGGAGTCCTACTTCATCTGCTGCTGGGAGGAGGCCCCAGACTCAGCAGCTCCTTCTCACTGGTCTTTGACGGGATGGGAGAACCCCGGGACAGCACTGGGCAGCTGACAAAGGCAGGGGTCCCCCCGCAAAGGATCACGCCACTCCTCCCATTCTAGTCCTTTCGGGGTCCCGCGTGCTGACGCTGGGAGGGTCACAGCCCCGTCCCCACCGACAAGTGCGGCTCAGTCGGCAGGTGGAGGGGTGGGGGCTTCCTCGCCAACTTTCTGGAGTGAGGAGCGCTTCCCAGGCCTGCTCCCTCCCCATTCCTGCTTTCCTTGACGACGCAGAGGCGTCCCTTCCTCCACCTGTCCTGTGTGGCAGGGCCTGGGCTGCAGGGCTCTTCCCCCGGCGACAAGAACCACTGTTTCCTGGAGGCGCTGCCGGCGCAGGGAGGACGGCGGCGCCGGGAAGACAGCGCGGGCGCGGCGGCTCCTCCGGCCTCACGCGCGCTCTCGCACCCGGCACCGCCCCGCGCTCCCAACCGGCCCGTGGGACCAAGGCACTGGCCAAGGACACAGAGCCCCGGGGAGGACCACCCTGCGGAGGCGGAGCCCCTCATAGGGACAGCCCTGCCACTAAGGCCTCGCCGTGCGCCTTCGGTCCCGCTGGTTCTCTCTGCGCCGCCTCCTCCTCCTCCTCAGGGCGCTTGTGCTCTCCACTGGCGTCTCTCAGCTCTGCTCCCAGAACTTTCGGGGCGAAGGGGCGGAGGAGGGAGGGGTGGCGGGACACGGGGTTTTCCAAGCAGAAGGCCCGGGGCGCGGGGTCCAGGTGGGCCGGCTGCGGGCAGGGGCGGGGGCGCACACAGGGGGGCGCTGCAGGGGTGCAGCCGGGCCTGCGGGACGCCCCAGAGCTGACCCGCGGCCTTCCCAGCGCTCCCCGCTCGGCTCCGGGCTCGGGTCCCAGGGGGCCAGGCCGGGGCGCGGGGTCCCGGGCGGGCGCGGAGCCTGGAGGGGACCAGGAACCGCCTGCGCCTTGCTCTCCACATCGCAGAACCGCCGCGATCGTTTTGGGCTGTGACTCCCCTCCCGCCGTCAGCGACCCCCGGCGTCCCCCTTCTCCGGTTCCCGATTCCTCGCCGCCCACATGGGCCCGGACCTCTTTCCCGTGAGCCCCGAGCGCAGGGCTGTGTCCCTCGGCTGTACTGGGGTGGGGGGGCCTGGGACCTGGGGACTCCCACCCACCCAGAGGCCCGGGCCCAGGGGTCAGTGGGGACCCGAGGAAACCAGGGCCCCGAACGGGCTGTGCCGAGGAGGGAACCGAGGCCAGAAACGGCTGTAGCTCCCGCTCCAGACAAAAACCGATGCACAAAGGCCGCGCAAGGAAGCCTAAGGAGCCAGAGGCTCTCCCCGAACTCCGGGCTGAGGCGGGACCCAGGGGCCTAAGGCGGCAGGTCAGGACCCTCTGCGGGGCTCGCTGTGACCTGGCCACGGGGCAGCGAGGCTCCGCTCCCCGTTACGTGGCCTTCAGTCCCACGGAGGCCCAAGGCTCGTCCTCTCGTGGGTCCCTCCAGGAAGACAGCCTCCCCTGGGGGGTGAGGGCCTTCCAAATGCTGCTGGCACACCCCCCAGGGTGTCCCCGGGGGCCAAGGGATCTGGACCCTTCCCTGCCAACAGCACGCAAGCCGGGTGGTGGATGTTAGGTTCTTCCTACCCCTTCCTGGGCTCCCCCAGCCCCAGCGGACATCACACAC